ACCCAAACACATACTCTGGCTAGAAACAGAGACCTCTTCCTGATACGCTCCTGATCCCTCATCCTGCTCTATTTGTTCCAAAGCACGCATCGACTGCTGATATTAGAGTTGATTTTTTTAATGCTTATTATTTATCTTATATCTCCCGCTCTTAATGTAAAGTTCACAAGGATGGGAATTTTTATTGACTTGCTCACTGATGCATCCCAAGCAACTAGAATGGTGCGCATCCATGGTAGACATTTGATAAATATGCCTGACGAATGAATAAATTAAAAGTTATGTATATAACTGTCCTTTTGAGCATGGACTCCAAGATCTTTAACTGTTGCCTCTGGAACATGCCAGCATCTTACATCATTTCATTTGGTACAAAGGTCTTTTCTATCTGGTATTTGAAATACAGAAGTTTCACTGTTATTCTCTTCTTGAATTTAAAAGGTTAATTCTGTATGGTAACACAGCAAGCTTTCCAAAAAATTGTTCTGTTTGTAATTTTCAGTTTGTTGTTTGTCATTTTTCAGTCCCGCTGTAGAAACTTGCATTGGGTACCCATGGATTCCTCCCATTAGGTCCTATATGATCATTTGCTCTACTTAGGTTGTAAATCCATTAGGAGCAAGAACTGGAGATATTTTATGTGTGTGCACATATACGTGTGGGTGTGAGACAGAGAGCACGTGTACACGCGCCCATCCACAGAGGCTAGCGCAGGACATAGAAGATGCTCCACCAGCATTTTAAGTGCTTTGATTCACGTGAAAGCAGAGTCTACAGTCATGAACTTGTACATGTAGAGAGGTGGTTATATGATCAGGCTTTCCAGATTTATCCACGAGAGAGTGTTGTTATACCAGAGGATGTTTCATGAATATCTGGGCTATCACTTCGATGGAATTCCCCTGGATGCAAAAACAGGCTCTGGTTTAATTTCTGAATCAAGTGAATTTATTCCCTATGAAGACCTCCCTAGCTTTTGGGTCTTTCAGTGGCTGGCTTTGTTTCACGGGTATGAGAACAGTAAGCTAGGACCAGTACCCAGGAAGAAAAGATCAGTGCTTGTGGCCAAATTTATACAGCCATGGTGGTCAATACTCCTTGTCGTATGCTAAACTCAGTCATTGTGTCTCCACATGGTATGCTCCTTGGATTCAGACATAACACCTTACTCATTTTTGTCTTTTCCAGTTGCAAACTTATCATCCAGCTGTGCAAGCCGAACAGTCAAGAAGTTAATCGAATTTAAATTATAAAATGGTTTTGTTTGGAAGTTTTTTGTTCTTCTACCTTAAGCTATATGTTGCTGGGTTTGAGGGAAAAACATCATCTTATTATAGAAAATCCAGAAGCTTGGCTCATGTTACATATACCATTTTTCAGCTCTTTTAAGCTGCCTGTCACATCAATTTGTGATTTCTCTATGAATATATTAAAGTTCACTGAGTCATAATTACAAAAAAATAATACATATAGGATTGAGGTTCATTTTAATTAGAGAGAAAAGAAAAGCTCCATATTAACAAGCTACCTAGATTTCTTGTTGTATTTCAGCATATTCCCCTGCAAATGGAAAGCTGAACTATGTTGAATTCACAAGAACAAACAAACCTAGCCTACAACAACTTATGAGCAAATGCTATGTTCAGCAGGTTTTCAAATGAACACTTTTTCTTTGATAGTATCTGTTAACTAGCTATATTTCTTAATCTTCATAAATGCCATTGCTTAATTACTTTAACTCCTTTTAATCATCCACTAAAATCAGCAAGTTTGTCTTTCACGGTTAAAGTGCGCCCTCTGGTGTTCATTCACTAAGATGCAACAGCTTCCATCAACGGCATTTGTGTACAAACAAGCTTGGTTCCACAGCACAGTGGAATGGAGTATTTCTAAAAGATTTGAACACATTTCATCCTTAAACCTTTTATGCAAAGAAAGTGATGTCATTGAGGAAGGCAAGATGAGATACCTGGAATTCCCTTTAGGATCTACAAAACAAGCAGGATAATTACCTCCCTCCACTGCTCACAGCTTCACCTCCTCTCTGATAAGTTACTAGAATGTTACAAAAAAAAAAAAAAGAAAAAGAAACAATTAATAGACATGTTTACGTTTATAAATCAAAAGCTATTACATCCATGAGTATCTTTCTAAAATGGAATGCTTTCTCACTTTCTACTTAGAAGCATTGCAAAATCATCACAGAAAGCGGCAGGTTTCTGATTAAACTAGTATTTTTTTAAGATTATACAGAATTAAATATGTTACTCTTATTTTCTTAATGTGCCAATAAGGTTGAGAACTAAGTAAACTTGAGTACACTCTTATTAAATATATTATGCATTGTTACATTTGCATTCCCATAGTTTTCTATTTTGAATTTATTATTAGATCCTATAATTGCATGATTTTATATGTATATATAATTGGAATCTTAAATTTGGAAAAAAAATGGCAAGACTGTTGTCCCAGAAGTATGAATACCAGTAAGACAAAGATAAATGTTAAAATAAACCTTCTCTCCCTCCACACACAAAGATGTATGCCAAGTTGTGGCTATTAATTAATACGACCTATTTTTTTTTATTGTGGCTTACAGAAGCCCCTCCCATTATATTTTCATCAGACATGTGTATATTTAGTGACAATATATTTTAATGGTCTTGAAAGCATTCTCAGCCTAATGAATTATGGGTGTAAAAATTTAGCAAAAACAAATAAAGATTTGCACACAGTTAGGCAAGGGGTTAAGAAGATTAGCTTTTCTGTAAATACAGACGTATTTTCTAAGAAGAAATATGTTTCTAAAAGCTGCCAAATTCTGCTACTTAGAAGAACTCCAAATGGGGAGTGTGTTAAGGAGAGATAACTGCTTCCAGTGATTACAATAACTGGATTAAAACCGAGGAGGCAAGACTTCAGGTACATCTTCTATTAAAGGTGATGTGAAAGAAGAGGGCCCACTTTGAAAGAAACTGAATAGAACAAAGTATTAGGATTCTGACTTCGGGGAAATAAAAAGTTTTATCTTCCACATGTGTTGGGTATTTTGGTTCCCTTTAAAAATGTTGATTCTATGGACAGAGAATTGCAAGGGAGAGAAATTTTCATTGGAAAACGTGAAAGCTTAAGGTAAGGGGAAAAAAATGCATGGCCAAGTATGAAATAATCAATAAGATCATTAGCATGTTAAATCATGCTGAGGGTGGAAACAGAGTGTCTATCTAATGAAACACGTGCGCGCAAGGCCAGGATGCAGCGTGGAGTCATGAATAAATAACCGTATTAAATGGATGAAAAGCAACACCAACCATTTCTACTTTGAATGCATGCCTGACATGAGTAAATGAAGTATTGTATTCCATCTTAAGTCCTTTCCCCCAACTAACTGCAGAAAGTGAAATAAAAACAGAAACACAATCGTACAACACATGCCAAACTAACAAAGGAGAGGAGGAGGGTAAGTGCAAATATATACCTGTTGGTGTGAAGGTAAAAGACGGGACTGAAAAATCAAAACAAAATATAAACCAGTTATTAAGCTGAAGAGAGAAAGGGAACATATCACATTAGTATAAATCAAGCAGACAGCTGAACATAAAACAAATGTAAATAACGAAGCCAGTAGTTCTGACACTCTGATATATGAATAAAACCAAATCTGAGGTGAAAAGAAGAGGCTTGTCTCTACAGGTACCATTTTGAAGTGTCTAGCATGGGAGTCGTGCTGGGTTAGCCTGGGAATGACCCTGCATTGAGTCACATAGATTTAGCTCCCGGCTGCAGGACAAACAGGAATCCTCTACTATTAATCATCTCCAAACACTGGTTGATGGATTCTCAAACAAGTATTCTCAGGGTCTTGCTTAAACCTTATCTAGAAATCTGAAAGTAAATGCTTATAAAAGTGGACTAATAGGTTCACTTAAGTGTTCATCATTCAGAGAAAGAGAGAGACAGAGACAGGAAGGAAGGAGGGAAGGAAGGAAAAGAAGGAAGGAAGGAGGGGAGGAAGGAAAGAAGGAATGGAGGGAGTGAGGGAAGAAGGAAAGAAGGAAAGAAACAACTGGAACAAAGGGAGCCATAAAACTGAACTGTTTCACTGCCGAGAAATGCCTGACACCTTATCATATAAACAGTGTGATACAATGTTTTTATCATTATAGAAATTTGTGAATGGACAGGAAGAAATGGGGAGTTTTAAACTTTAATTTCTCGATTATAGTTTACACTGAGAAGCTTTCTCTGAGTAGGCTGAGCAGTTTTTAAATGTCACACTAGAAGCTAAACAATAGAACAATAACACCCCACTGAAAACCCTCACTCTCTCTGCAGTTATAAATCTTAATCTAATCAATAATGCCTGAAATTGAACTGCAGACCTCAAAAGTAGCAGCCTCGCCTCCCCTTCCTGGGTGTTGGATAACATCACAAACTATTTCCATGTCATTTCATGGCGGGAGGAGGCTGACTTATTTTGCAAGCTCTTCGCATTAATTTAAAGTAAACAGTTCCCAGGTCAAGCAAGCCAGGGAATGTTCACTGCTCCCTTGAAGACTCAAGCTGGCGTTTAAGAAATCCTTAATACACACAAACTAGAATATTGATTATGTATCGTGGATCAACAAGCTGCCAAAAATGTATTTTCCACATCACATTTGAATGTCTCCAAGAAATTTACTTTAGGATTAGAGACTTTGGGGGCTCCACACTGCACATGCTGGAGAATTCGGTACAATGGTCACTTCCTACCGAACCGTTTTATCGCTGAGTACACTAGAAGGAACAAAAACAAAAACCTCAGTGCTGTGTGTGCCCATCTGATACACTGGCCTTTGCAGGCAGCACGGCAGGCCCTCCCTGTCTTAAGAATTCTATTGTGTTTTCTTTCAGTTAGGTCTTTTCAGAGTTGATGTAATTTAGGCACAATCAAAAATTCCGAGTCATAGTAACAAGTCTTCATAAATAAATAAATAAGAAGGTACATGTGAAAGTAAAGCTATTCAAGCAAGAATAGAGTGCCTGAACATTCATTTGCAATCACTAGGACATAAGGGAAAAAAAATATGAAAGGTCCTTGTCAGTCCTCCTAGCTAACTGCTAACCCAGTTAGACACTGAAGAAGATACAAAAAGAGGCCATCTAAATGAAATTTTTATAGCTTGTACACCAAAGAACAACTTAATTTTCAAAGCTTCCAATAATATATAATCACCTCTTGTTACCCAGCGATGCTGGTGCACGGTGTGGATGTATGTGGAAAGGGATCCTGAGTGTTTTAGCAGAGGGTGTATCTACAGATACACTTTGTGGGGGGGAGGTTAAAAATGCTCACTATTACCCAAAGTCACACTCTGCTTTGGGGGTTTAAAGGTCAAGAGGCTCTTTTATATCTATTTCTTGAAAATCTTTCACTTCATTTTTTTTTTCTTATAATTACTGGCATTGTTTCTGGCATAGATGATTTAAGGCTTCAGGACGCACTTTTTTTTTTTTTTTAATTGTATGGGAACAGAATTATGAAAAAGTGCCAACGAGGCAAAATGAAGAAAGCAGAATCAAATGCTCACCAATTACATTTGTAATTATGTTCTATGATTTCTGCTTAAACACAAGCTAGTTAAAAGGACAATGATATTAGTTTCATAGGTTTCGCACAAAGAGCTCATAGGCATTTGCCAGCATGCTTATAGTACATTAGTGAAAGAAAAGATATTTCAGAAAGGAAGGGGGTTTCATGTCACACATTCAGATTTCAAGACACTATAGAGCATTAAATTGTTATAACTAGACAGCTGCAGCACCTCACGGCACCAAGAAATACAAGATTCCTGGAGCATTCAAGAGACTCTACATCTATACGTTCATTAGTCGCTTTTCCTCTTCAAAGTCGATTTCAAAACACAGCTCCCAATGCCCTGCCCCTCCTGCCCCCCCTCCCCCCCCGCTCCATGACCCACAAGCCCCTTCCCTGCACTGGATTTTAAGTCAAAGGTTTTAGATGGTCACACATGTGTCTGACATTGTTCTACTCTGTAGATATAACGAGCACCAGCTCTCTTGGCCTCCAAGCCCTTGTTTTCCATTTCACAGGCAGGGATACTGACATTTTGCTTCATCTCTAGATAGAACACATTATCTGCAAAAAAACATTTTTAAGGATGATAATGCTACGGCAAATATATGTATGAACGTGAAGGGACGGGCTGCATGTCCACAGCAGGGAGGCACATTAATTTATTTTTACCATATGGGTGATGAATTTGTGTTGACTCTTCCTTGCCAAGACCCCTTGTGATTGACAGTACAAATATTTTAGACAGCTGTCCCAGGCTGTTTTATAAGCGTATAGCTAGCACTACAAATTCTGATTTTGCATATAACGGATTAGAGAAAGGGCTTGGCCAAGACATGTAGGAAATGTTTGCTTAGAAAATATGTAGACTTAGAAAAAAAAAAAGGAAATATGTAGACTTGGGGTGCCTGGGTGGCTCAGTCAGTTAAGCATCTGACTCTTGATTTCAGCTCAGGTCATGATCTTAGGGTCGTGGGATCGAGCCCCACATCTGGCTCCCTGCTCAGCATGGAGTCTGCTTGAGATTCTCTCTCCCTCCGCCCCTTTCCCTGCTACAGCACGCTCACTTGCATGCTCTCTCTCTCTCTAAAATAAATAAATAAAATCTTTAGAAAATACGTAGACTTTTTTTTTTAAGAATGGTGATGGTGTGGGAGGGGATGTGTTCATTGGTAATTCTCTTTAAATTTGTTTTCCAGCCAAGCAAAAGTGTTGTCTTATAATCCCTAGAAATAGGGTGAATGTATAATTTGCCATCCAAACCAGGACAATTTTGAGAACAAAAAGGAGGACTCTAGGTAACTTGCTGGATGAAAGACATAAATCGGGACTCTCCCCTGAAAAGCAAGACTTTTAGTCACTCTACCTGCAGTGCACATCAGAGGCCCAGAATTGATTATTAGGTTTGTTGGGTAGGTAGAGGAAGGGAGGACTATCTGTCTGACAGCGTTAACAAATCTCATCAAAGAATAACAAATACAAATCACCAATCTACAGACTTCAAGGATATGTGGCAAAAGTGTCTGTGAACCTCGGCATACTTGGTTCCTCCATAAAATTGTAAATAATAGCAGCCAAGTAAACTTTCTCTTCCAACCCTATAAACACACTTGTAAGGAAATCCCCATCACTAGTTAACAGCATATACATATCAAAATCTGCAACTTTAAATACAACAATAAAAAAATACTAAACTTCCTCTCTGCAAATGCAAATTAGTTGGGCATTCCATATTCACTAAGAAACGACTATTTTATAACTAATCAAATACTCATAAAATAATTATTTTATAAATAATCTCTTTAGCTTCACAAAGACTACAGCACTCCCTGTAAAGGTATATGGGTCAGTGCAAAGCTTGTATTTATAATTCCGGTGACAAGGAGATTAAAAAATTTCTTCAAGAATATAAAGCAGTGAGGTGATTCCCTAAGAGCACAAGAGATGGTGTAACGACCAAGTGTAGACCTACCTTGGTGAAATATAAAGGAATTGAGCCTGAAACAGATAAGCCCTGTTTGAAGTCTTGCTACTCCAGAGAAGTCAGTATGTAGAGATCACAATAAAATAAAAGCACTTTAGAGAATCTTTATATATTACAATAATTTAATATATGAGATATATAAGCATGAATATTTTGGAGTCACAGATTAAAATCAGGAGTTATTGCAACATATTAAAAAATGAAAAACTCAGGAAAGGTAATACCTTTTCTGATACCCGCATAAGTACTGGTCAGTCCATTTCTCTTTTTCCGGTGTCGATACAGCCAGATGCTAAAGACCATGAGGATGATCCAACAGGACGCCCCGATTCCTGCAATGAATGCTGGCTGCTTCACAACGTCGGAGATCTGCTGAGCAAGGCTGACTTGGTCTTCAGGTGACACGGGGTTTCCGTGAGAATCTGAAAAGCCATCTTTGGATTAATGTGGGTTTAAAACTCAATGAGATCAAGAAGGCATACTTGTATCATATAAAATGGCTATCATTATTTTGTTAATTTTTAGGCGCTCATTTCTGTCTTTCATTCGGAGACATCTACCTTTGTTAATTAAAATAGTCCATGAGATTTTCAGCAAAATTATATTCACTCTATTTTAATGCAAAACAAATATGACACAATAATTTTATGGAATATATTTAAAAACAAAGACAATGGCACACAACCTCTATTTTTTACTCCACAAAACTCTTATTGCTTAGATTGAGTTTCACAGAACAGTGCTAACTGAGATAAATATAAAACTACAATTGTAAAAAATGAAATACTTAAACAGGAGTACATAAACAGGGGGTACCAAATAAGTTGTATAGAAAAGACATGAACTTTCTCAGACTTGTACAGAAACCCTCAATTACATGTTTCAAAATGATAATAAATAAAACATTATTTCCTCTATTTAAGGTACATATTGAAAAAAAAAAGTGTGTGTTTTCCTCCTCCCCGAATCCCCCTACTATATGACTATGCTCTAAGATTCTAAAATGCATTATTTGAGCCTATGTTCACAGTTTATACAATTTAGTATAATGTAAAACCAAAGAAAAATTAAGATAATGTTACCACTGAAATAACTATGTATAATCTTTCTTTCTTCCTTCTTTTTTTTTTTTTTTTAAGTAATCTCTACACTCAAGGTGGGGCTTGAACTCATGACCCCGAGATCAAGAGTCAGATGCTGTACCAACTAAGCCAGCCAGGTGCCCCAAAGTTTGTTTATTTGTTTTTTAAGTAATCTCTTTCTTCTAAAATAACAGCCATGACCAGCAATAGATACAAGAACATTAAATATGGACAAGAACTATCTAGTGTTATGAATAGTTGAAAAGGTATATGTTTTCTGTTCTTTTGATTCAATAATTTAAAATCAATGGAATTTCTGGCAATGAAAATCTACTTAATTTAGGTTTAAACCTACTAAGAGATTCCTTTTTTCAAGCCCACCATTTCATCAAGTCATACAGAGCAGTCAGCAATGTCTGCAGAAAACTGCAAACCCTTGTTCTATGATCAAAGCAACATCCTGCTTTGTTGGCGCTGAGTGATGCCAACACTGAGGATGCCCAGTGAGCACAATTCCCATTAGTGCTTGCGGTTTTAATGTCCTTCCCCCACAACATCTGGTGAAACAAGAAGGTGTTTGCTCATTTCATTAGGAATGGTGCTTTCTTAAAATCGTCTTAATTTTATTTGACTCCGAAAATGTTTTGCTAATCAACCTGCTTTAAAATAGAACCATTTGTTCTAGTCCAAAATTCCTTTTTTTTTCCAGAACAAAATAACTGGTATAGCTCATTATAAATGAAGAACATTTCTCAAACAGAAAACAATTCTACAGATTATTTTTTCTTTCTTATTAAATGATATGGTGCCCCAATAAGACATTTGTAGGGAAAATAAGCAGCGTTCAATGGCCAAGGAAACAACCTTGGGAAAATAGCACCCCTTTCTATGTAAAATGGTAGCTACATTGCTACTCGTGTGTGTGTGTGTGTGTGTGTGTGTGTGTGTGTTTTGTTTGCTTTTTTTTCTTGAACAGAATTCCAAATTTTATTCTATGGAGGGTCAAGCCTGAAAAACCTATTTTTATAAACTGTCTCGGTCACCTGCCTTCAACTGTTTGTTGACTGAAAGTTTTATTTCATGTTCCAGGCTCTTTTATCTATGGTTTTCCTAAAAGCACTTCATCCTCTGAGAGTTCACCAAACAGACCTATTCTTTTTTTTTTTTTTTCCCGATACACTCTTTGTATCTCCTAAGTTTATGGATTTCATGGCTATTTGTGCAAGGTTAAGTTGGGTAGCTTCAGATTTTATGGAGACAGCCAAGAGAGGTTCCATGCAAGCGACCAGATGGGCTTAACAGAATAAAGTGTGGTGTGACTAATGAATTAAAACGGCCACTCTATATCTCAGTCTTTGTATCCCTGCAGCTGAGGCTATATTAAGATATGGAAAACGGGAACACATTTATAATTTCAAGTAAACCAATTTGACCCTTAAATCCCCTGATTTAAATCTTAAATAAATAAAATTACACATGGTCCTTTTCCAAAGCATCTTTGAAAAAGGACTGAAATCATACCTTATGAAAATAGGTAAATGACATCAACAGTATATAGGTCATCACAGTGTAACTTATAATATCAATTTTAATAAGTTAATACTGATGTTTCATAAAACTGGGCAACTCTGAGTTATTTAGACTATTTTCCCCCATGTCTAACCTAACGTTGTAACAGATGCATCAAGCAATTCTTTTAAATAGTTTCCTATTTTGTAATTTTGTAATAAATGAACCTGAAATAAACCATGAAACTATTTTTGCTTAGGAGTTGCATATGTAATCACTGTTTAAAAAGATAATCCCCAAATCAAATTCTGGACCATGGCTATAGCAGATAGCACAAGCTCTCCTCGAAAGGTCTGAATGTTACCTTCATACGACAGAGTTTTCAGGAGGTAACTCTCTAGCCAGTGACTCCTTTTGGCGGTGTTCTCATTCCCTGACTTGCGTTCTGCACAGGAGTGATGAGCACCCTTTCTAGTCCTGCACCATTAAATCCTGCCCAACCCTGTGGGTTTCTTTTCTCTCTACTGGCCTTGGGTCAGCCTTGGAAGCTCCAGGTTAAAAAAAGGTAAAGCTCATCAGCCCGTGACACTCCCTGTCTACATGGAACAGAGTCCCACCCCACAATTACAACACTTCAGGTGAACTTTATGGTGTTATACCACAAAGGTTCCGCAAAGACATCCGTCAGAGTAGAAAGCACTGTCTTAACAATGGAACAATGACAGGAGTTTCCAAACTGAGCGTAAAGTTTATATAGCAAGGAAGTTTATTCAAAGCCAAATGTTTCTTAATTTTGTTTTGAAATAATTTCTAGGATGTCCTCAGTTATCATCCAAATGCAAAAATACTATGTACTTGTCTGTGAAGTATAAAAATGCATATATCTGATCCTTTTCCTAACAGAAAATCTTACTAATGCTTAACTTCTGATTTGAAAGGAATAAACCAAAGTTGACTCTACATTCAGCATTTTTCATAATTTAAATGTAGCTTCTTAATAGCGACACTTTTCTCTCCCCTTTCCATTTATAATTGTTTTTGTTGTTATTTGCTTTAGATTTTTACTAGTAACCACTTACTAATTTGTATTTCATATTCATGCCACATTCCCTATAGGAAACTGTAGTAACAAGGCTTCTCTGTCAGTTTTTTTTCTTAATGTTTTTCCTTTTTTAATTCCTCTAACCACTTCTGAAGCACACATCATATTTACCTTTCTAAGTAATTAGCATAGAACTGTATCCTGATTCTCTTTGACATTGGAATCTATCTTTTCTTATAAAAAGCAATTATAGTTTTAAATAGACGCCAAAATAGTAAATATAAATTGTATATTGCTTAAACTTCTAATACCTAGTTTAAGTTTTTCATGGAAGTTTTTTTTTTTAATCCAAATAACTGTAAATTCCATGAAGATTCAGACTGTGTCTTTCTTGTTCATTGAGGTATCCTTGATGTTCAATTAATAGTATTTGTTGAATAGGAAAAAAAAAAAAGAAAAAATTCAATAGGACAGAATTAGGATGACAATGAATACTGACAACCTTTGCTTGAAATACAATTTAAAATGTGTGCTTGGCTAAGTTTCAGTTTAGTTGTGATATATATTATGTATTTATATAATCATAACATATTATATATTTATATAAATATGTATTTATATTTATATTTATATATTTTATACAACATATAATGCATATATTTTAAATAAAGCTAACATTATCATTTTTGTCGCTCTCTTTCCAAAAACCAAAAAAGGCAGGACCATGGTGGGGGGCAGCAAGAGACTCTCAAACCAGATCTGCGCACTCACCTAACTGGATGAACTGTGGTTCACTCTTCACCCCAGCCCCGGCCCCAGTGCTGGCGGCCACCTCTACACTGTATCGGATCCCAGGAACCAGAGAAGGAATGACCACAGAAAAGGTGGAGCCATCCACCGTCTTGTTTATATGATAGCGAGTTTCATTGCCCAGACACCAAACCTGTAAGCAGAGCACAAAGAATTTTAAGCCAGTAAATTATTTAAGTGAATGCAAAGAGCAACATAGTATTTCGGTTTTAGACCGAGACCAAGTTCAGACTTATCATGGACCTGATACAGGATGCTGCAAACGTCATTTTTCCCTAGGATCTAGGTCTGAGTGGACGCCCCCAGTCAAACCTCAGGTTAGCAGTACCTTAAAGACCGCTTTGAATTTTCTCATCTATTTCTCAAGGACACTATTAGGAAAGTCTACAGATTTTTGCTCAAACACACAGGCTATCAGCCCAAATCATCAGTTTTTTATTTTTAAACACCTAGAAATTATTTGCCAGAAAAAAGGGGCTTTGCAAAAAACTGTGTATATCCAGATAAAGAACAATAACTAAATCTAAAGTACCTTTGCAAAAATATGGTTATAAAAAATAAAACTGGACAGGGGCACCTGGCTGGCTCAGTTGGTAGAACATGCAACTCTTCATCTCGGGGTCCTGAGTTCGAGCCCCATGTTGTGTGTAGAGTTTACTTAAAAATAAATAAATAAAACTGGACATAAGGAGTTGGGATCTTCCTAGGAGTCTCCTCAGCCTGTTGCATGTTGCACTGCTATCAGTGAGAGAAAATTAGCACTCTGATCTTGTATTTAAATGGGAATATTAATTTGTCTTTGATAACACAGATGAGATCATAAAGAATAACAATACATATTTGACTTGAAAGAAAAGTATTCTTCTGATGAGAAAATTATTGTATAGCTCATTAACTTTGATAAGGATATTTATGACAGGAAATTATTTTCAGGAAATTAAGACTTCTGAACTACACTGCAATCCTTAATTTAAATTTCACTAAAGGGTTATTTAACCATAGAGTGATCTGCAATGTTTAAGAAGTTGGATATGGTGCATGACAGTATTTGGACTCAGTTAATATAAGAAAATGATCCATGGAGTAGTAAGACATGCTCTATATTCTTTATGATGTCCTCAAGCAAAATGTAGGATTAGTCTCAAGTAGCCTATTGTCTAAACTCTAATAGGAAATGGGATTTAAAATAAATCTAGGAGTATCAGTGTCCCCTATCACGTGAGCAATAACCTTTCATTTTTTTTTCCTTTAGAAGTTAATATTATTTTAATATAGTTTCAATGCATCACACCAGTAAATGGTCAGACTCTATACCAGGTCCTGACCATTTGGAAATAAAGAGTCCTTTGTGATTTTTTCCCCCCAATTACATTACGCAGCTGAACCAAAGCCACAAACTGATTTTGTACCAGTCAATCAGGTTCTGAAAGGCATTTTATTATTTTAAATTGACCATGAAGTTAAGTGAAATCCACCCTTTTGCATTTCTTCTGGAGAGAAATGAGTTTTGACTCTTAGGGGAAAATGCCTACATTACACAATTTTGCTTGAGAGCTGAGATATCACCTCATTTTAAATCCTTAAAAATCTCTATAACAGTTCATTTTTCTGGACTGAACCATAGCATCCTGTCACTCCCCCATCTTGAGATAACCTTGAAATTCACAAGAAAACATTTAAATTGTAGAGACTCTTACCTTTTAATGATTCAATGACACTAGAAGATCTAATTTGAAATATCTTAGAACATTCACAGGGCATTCATGGCACTATTTTAAATACTTTAAATGTCACCCTTTAAAAATTCTGGCAAATTTCATAAAGAGATTTTCAGTTTGTTTTTAAAGATCATTTTAAGAAAATATTAGGCCTAAAATGACGCTCAGTATATCTGGTTACTGTCCAAATCAATTTGCTACTCAAAAGAACATTGATGGTCTTTATTTGGCAAGCCTTACCAAGAATGCACATCAGAATCACCTTGGAAAGATCTATCCCAATATGTATGCAACTCCCCCCCACAGACCTCCTGAGTCAGAATCTCTGAGAATGGTGGTCAGGTACATATGTTTGGAAAATGAGTCCACTAGAGATTCTGATGTTAGTATCTAATTACCTGTAGAAGATAAATGTGGTCACCTTTTTAATATCAGTTTCATATCAATAGGAACAGTATAAAATATTCACATATAGGAAATAAACTACTAAGTATCACAGTTTAGCTAGTAACTAAAAAATACTCAGGTATTATGGAAATATAAAGCAGTATCTAGGGAAAAAATGTTTTGCAGTTAAAATTCTTCTAGTATGCAATGTGTTTACATAAATGTTGAAAAAAAGACATGTAAAATCTATTTTCTACTGAGATTTCCCTGATTTAATCTATCAATTATTCATTTATCATAGATCATTAACACTTTCCTATAATACAGAGTCATTGATAGGATACGTCTCATGAGCCTAACTTTGTTTTTAACTGTATCTTGGCATGCTTGAAAATATTTGCTCAAAACAAATCTGTGTAAGACTCTAAATTTAATCACTAGAGCTGATGACTTCACAGGTCAAAATAATTATCAGAATTATCAGATTGAGTCACTCTTATTATTTTTAAAATTCATTTAAACATACATAAATTTATAACTGAATCTCTTCTGAGATATGAAATTTTGTTTAGAGACTAAAACAAGTTTTACAGGAAAAAAAAATTTGTGCACATTAAAGTAAGTTTTCCAACTTAGCTTCAAAGTTTTAAAACTTCAAACATGTCAAAAAAAAAAAAAAAAGGAAGAGAAAGCAAACCCTATTTGATAGTATTTGACTCTTAGCCAATTCCATGGGGCAACTCAATGCTGCAAAATATATTCAAGCTAGTTTTTTAAGGTTAAAAAAACCACAGGGGGCACTTGGGTGGCTCAGTCGTTAAGTGTCTGCCTTCGGCTCAGGTCATGGTCCCAGGGTCCTGGGAACGAGCCCCGCATCAGGCTCCCTGCTCGGCGGGGAGCCTGCTTCTCCCTCTCCCACTCCCCCTGCTTGTGTTCCCTCTCTAGCTCTTTCTGTCAAATAAATAAATAAAATCTTAAAAAAACCCACAACTTTTTATTAGCATTCATACTTGTTGTTTGTGTAAAATTATATGGACCTATAGATTTTGTGACCATATAGATCACTTCTTTTAAATTAATTGTTTTTTCGAATGGCTTAAGAAAGAATTAATCCACAATTACCTAATAAACAGGGAAGTATTTTAAAAATAATTTTACATGTTGCTACCTGCACCAGCAGATGGCGCCAAATACCCATAATTTCAACAAGCTTTTTCTTTTGCCTTTCTTTGTAGGGGGAGAAGGGTGTCCATCAGTAATTACTATATATGTGTTACCTTATACTCTTGGACCATTCCATTCTGAGTGTCTTCTGGAGGCGGCTGCCAACTAACAAGAATTGCAGTTCCATTTCCATCATTCTTTGATACAGTTACACTTTGGGGTGGGGCACTGGGTGCTATTAAATTGTTTTAAAAAGTAGATACATTATGAGTATATTAGAGAACACTGAAAGCAGACACAACATTTAAAATCAAGTAATAACTATGTAAAATATATGTCAATATACCATATGTTTTAAAGATGTATCTCATTCAAGTCTGAATAGTCCCAACTGATTTAAGTTTCTCCTCAAAATTCCTAAACCTTTTGTTATTGCGAATTTTCCATAACCAAAGTTACATAGATTATCTCCATAAAACATCCCAGGAAAATTCTTATTCCTCCTACCCTGTAACCTCAGTGTCATGTTCTCCCTACAAAGGTTCCAAAGTATAAAGCTATATATTAATCAACCATGACATTAACTATATCCTATCATTTATGTAATCAAAATAAGTAGATTTTAGGGAAAATTCTGGTTATTTTTACAGAGTATACTTGTGACACGTAACCTTTTTTTACTTTTATGTAAATACTAAGATTGAAATTCCAGGTATAGGGTGGCCAATCATACCGGTTTTTCTAGAGCTGAGGGGTTTCCACAGACATGAGGAATAAGCATAAAATGCTAACCCCAGAAAGTTCTGGGCAAACCAAAACATTACTCACCGTATTTATAAATCATTACTCAAAGTAACATTCAATAAGTGAATGGAAAATAATTAATGGAAAGTCAAGCAAATTGAGAACAAATTCATCTTTAAATGTGAATTTTAGTTCTCAACAATTGAATATGTCCTACATATGCCTTTAAGTAATATATGGTTCACATTTGCAAATTTTTATATAGGCTATTAAAGTAAGTCAAGTATTACAGAATTTTTATTTTTAGTAGTTCTAACTGAACAAAATCTCTTAGCAAAATATAATGTTCAATATAATGTTCAATATCAAGACAGTTAATTAATGTCACAGTTAACATTAAGATTTTTTCAATTAAGTTAATAAAAGCCCAGCAAATGTACTACAATGCACAGTAATCACACGTTTCATTATACTTGCCTTCTTCTAAGGTTTTGGCAAATTTAATTTCACTATCTGCTCCTTGAAATTCATTAAAAAAAGGACGAGCCTTAATTTCATAGTTGACCCCCTTTCTGAGATCAGGGATAACCACGCTATTTTTGGCTGGGGTCCTCACTTCAAAAACTAACCACTCTGATTCACCATGGTTGGCTCCAGATGGCCGATAAAGAATTTTATATCCTTGAATATACTGAGACTGTTGGTCCACCTATTAAAATGACAAATAAAAAATAAAACCATTTATATCTTTTATTGATTTATTTAAAAATTATGAAAATTAAATGTGACAAAATGCAAACAATTCTATCTGGCTTCACCCTATAGTTTTCTAGTTTATATAAAATAGAACATGAAAAACAAATCACTATCTTTTGTAATATAGTCACTTTTTCAGCTCAATATATAATGTTAGATACTAATTTCTAGGGTTCATGCAGAAATTTTAGGCATCATAGCAGCTTTGTGACAGACATCTAGGGATGTCAGGATCAAAAGGATCAGAAAACTTTCTAATTTTAAATGCCAATTTAATACTACTCAGAAATACTTCTTAAGTCTAAAAGATATTATGTAATAATGATCCTGTCACAAGTTACATATTTATAATTAATACTATGTATTTCTTTCCTTTGGTAATGGTAAAGTTTACTATTGCTGTATAATAGAAAATACACACAACATGAAACTTTTTTTGTTGAAAGCCAAAGCACAGCTACCATAATAAACAATGCTTACATTATAAAGTTGTTATTGGTGGACAAGCGGGCAACACATATACATAAACTATCTGTTCCATAAATATCTTTTTCATATAATGATCTCCCAGAAGTCATCTGCTTATTGAAACTGAAACCAAATATTGCAACAATAATGACTCACTGTCCAGTGCACTTCGATTGAAGAGGAAGAAAGGATGGTAGGGTTGTGGAGGTGCAGTACAACATTTCCCAGCTCTCTCTGGACCTGCTTGTGATCTACTCCCTGACTCGTTGGGGGAACATCTGCAACAATCCAAGAAGACGTGTTACCATCCTATGCAATGTAACTGACTTGAATGAAAGCATGGTGAAACAATCCTTGCATTCATAGCAACTCTCAGAAAAGAAGAATCATTCCAACTGGGAAGCCAACCTGTGATACAGAATAAAATGGGAACAACTTAAATTTTTTATTAGCATAGGGAAGATGGGGACATACAGAGAGAGAGTGAGAGAAAGAGAGAGAGAGTGAGAGAACAAGCAGAGGGCATGTAGAAAGCAAGAAAGAGCAGGAAGCAAAGGTAACAATGGCAAAAAGCAGCATCTGAAGGTGCCTCTTACCATGTAATGATCGCTTTCTCACCAAGGATGAGGAGCTGAGTGCAATCCCCTGAGTTTGTTATAAAATTCGATAGTGATCCTGACTACGCAAGAAAGAAAAGAGCCATAAATTGCAATAGAGTGGATAACTAATGTAAAAAATGAAAACATATAAACGTGAAAAGCAAGCACAAAAAGAAATTAGACACCTTACATCTTATAAGATGAACTTAGGTATCTTCCCAAATAAGGTATATGGTAAGTTAGTAGTAGCTATGATGAGGGATACAGAAGCCACCAGTAGAATGGAATGGGATGGAATAAAACGAAAGAATAGAATAGAATAGAATAGAATAGAATAGAATAGAATAGAATAGAACAGAACAGAATAGAATAACAAAATAAATCTGATGAGAAGAGAGCACCTAACCATCTATTTAATGGTTTGCTTTTTCAGTTCAGTTATTATATCACTGTAAAGAAGGTTAAATAAAAAGTTCTTAATCTCAAGAACACCAAAATTTAAGAAAGGAGACCAATAACAAGGTAAGAATTGAACTATTACTAGTGTGCCTATGTTGCACTTTTTTCCCCCAATAAGGAGGGGATTTGTTTAAATTCTAAAGTCTGTACTCAGTAAAAATTGCCCATTTCTAAGGAGGTTTTCTAAATACAGATATCTTGCTTTGCTTACAATAATAAAAGGAGCGGGGTGCTTGGGGTGGCTCAGTTGGTTAAGTATCCAACTCTTGATTTCAGTTCAGGTCATGATCTCAGGGTCATGGGATTGAGCCCTGCGTCAGCCTCCGCGCTCAGCACAGAGGCTGCTTGTCCCTCTCCCTCTGCTCTTCTCTCTCTCAAGTAAATAAATAAAATCTTAAAAGAAAAATAAATAATAAAAGGGAACATAGGGTGAAGTAGGGAAGAAAATAAAGAGATTTTTGTGGCCAGAATTCTTTCTCAGAGTATTATATGTTGGCATATATATTCTAGAGTATTTACCATCCCATAAACAGCAGAAATGAGAATTTTAGTTTTCTGAATAAGTATCTTTAAAGATATTCTAAACAAGAAGCAAAAAAATTTTTTATTAAAATGAGTCTGTCCAATATTATACTATATATTAACTAACTAGAATTTATTATTATTATTTTTTAAAGATTTTATTTATTTGCACGAGAGAGAATGAGAGACAGAGAGCATGAGAGGGAGGAGGGTCAGAGGGAGAAGCAGACTCCCTGCCGAGCAGGGAGCCCGATGTGGGACTCGATCCCGGGACTCCAGGATCATGACCTGAGCCGAAGGCAGTCGCTCAACCAACTGAGTCACCCAGGCGCCCTTAACTAATAATTTCTGCAAGGAAAAAACAAACAAACAAAAAAATGAGGTTGTTCAGGTTTGAGGGACTCCACAGAAGTCAGGCAAATAGAAGACAGATCAAGAGTGCTATTTAACACTCTTAAATATAATACCCTTGACTGTACATATATACTGCACGCATCAATTAAGCTTATAAATAAGCAAAATGACAAAAACAACAGATGATTTTGGCTTCTCATACTTTAGCATCCCTCACAAATATCCTTGGCTAACACTGGCCCTCAGGCAACCTATTATCACAGCCTAGAGACAGAAAGCACTTGCCCGTCAGGCTCCCAACTCCACTGTTCCTCCTTCCCTACTGGTTTCTATTGCTCTGATGATTCCAGCTACCATCTATCTCTGGAGTAAGCGTGAAGTCCTTGCAATAAGATAGAGTTGGGTTTGCACCCCAACTCAGCAACTCATCAGCCATGAAACATGGGGTAGATTTCCTAACCTCACTATTTTTCTGTTTTCTCACCTGGCAAATGGCAATATTAATGGCAGATATTTCTGAGAGTTGCTGTGAGAACTGCATTTTGTAAGTCATATGAAGCCCTTGTCTTGAAAGCAGGGACTGGGTTGATCTTTGTGAACCCAGAACACCTAGCCCTGTGCCATACATTTAGAATGTGCTTAATAAACATTGGTTGAGTGAAAGGGAATTACTGTATGAAAACACATGTTCTCTCATATGTAAGCTTCTCTCCTCGGGAATCTTCTGCCTTTCAGGAAGTAACCACAAACATGTAAATAACCATTTTAAACGGTAACTACTATGATTTTCATCACAATCTCTAATTTCTTTGCTTTGAGATAAACTTGTCAGTCAATCCCTTCATGTAAACTACGAAACTCCCTTGCCTGGTGTAACCATTTTGGCAACAGCAGCCTAGAATATTCAGAAAATGGCCCATCAGAGAGAAAAATGAAAAGTAATACTTAATAACATTGAAAAGTTTACGAATTGGTCCTTTTATTGTTCTTGTCCTTTTCCTCCTCTTGAAAAAAAAAAAAGTATTCTTATGTAAAAGATCCTTCCGAACATTCTTGGAATTAACCTGGAGGAAATTTTAGATTGTAATTCTACCCGGCTGCTTCCCCAGTGTTGGAATTCCCTATACAGTTTCTGAAAAGAGCTTATGCAGGACCCACTTCATTATTTACTGGGTTCTTATTACCTATATGATACATACGCTGTGCATTCTGTGTCTTCAAGGATAGGGCTCAGAATGCTATGCATGTAGGACACGGGGGGGAAACACAGTAGTTCCAGTGGCAACAACCCCACCATCCCAGCAATGGCCAACACACCCCTACTTGCCCACGACTCATGTCATCTTCTTCGCATTATTGAATCTTTTTTGGGGGAAAACATCGCGATTACCCTATGACAAGGCTCTAACTCCAGCTGTGACATGGGTCTACCTGAGTTCTGAACTGGAAACTGCCTTGTACCTTTAACTCTGACCCAGCTCCTTCATAGGAATCTCTACTTGGGGAAGACTTTTTTTTTTTTTTTTTTTGCAGCCATGTTACAGAAATGGTTATAGAAATTATGGCTGCTCTCTTATGAATCCATTTCCAATAAGTCTCTCCTGAATGCCCTCCACCCCTGGCTCTTCCCCTTACCCTTACTACACAAACGTTCTGTACTTTCTTCCAGGTTTTTCCCCAAGTTCCTGCTACATCTGGTATTAGCCTAACCTTCAGCTGAGCTTCACAGTATCTTCAAGAGCAGCCCAAGAACTAGACGATGAAATCTTCCTCGATGTTACTTCTACTCCTTGGTCCTGTTTTGTTGCCTGGGATTAAAATACACATACCCTTTTCACATGATGGTCTCTTAAAATGTTAAGGAAAAAAAATGTCATGTCTACTCTAACTTTCTTATTTTGGGGGGAAAACATGCCAAGACCCCTGAATTTCTTTTCCAGTGATGTGATTTTCAGCCTTCAGTGCAGCTCTGCCAACTAACCTCCTTGTCCTCCTCTTAAAAGTCTACCTGAAAATGTAGTGTTCAGAAAAGAGCACATTATTCCATTCATAACCTGACCAGTTCAGAGTAAAGGGAGGGGATTACTTGATCCAGACATAATTCTGCTAATGCCAGCTAAGACCATATTTGTTCTTTTGGCAATGACATCACTCAGTTGGCTCAAATGAGTGCTTTAGTTGACTTCAAATACTGAGATCTGTGTGCCCCCAGCACCCTGACACACACATGTACTCCCCCTTTAAGCCTGGTATCCTTAGTCTATCCTTCCACAGTTAAGTTTTAAACCTTAAGTTTAAGTGGCACACTTTTGAATTTGCTCCATTAATTTAATTTTAGTGCTGACCCATCCTTTCTGTCTATTGAGATAGATTTAATTCCGATGCTCTCATTCCTCAGCCTGTCTTTCTCAGTTTCAGGATAGCTGCAAAGTTTATCAACTCCCTTTATTTTTAGTCCAAAGAAACATGAGTCCAATAACAAATTCTTATGGCAGAAAACAGAAAAGAAATCTGAGTCTTATACACTCATAAATTAATTAATCCCTGACCAAACCTGTAGAGTGCCTATTTTTAGCCCCATTTTATTTAAGGGATGAAACTGAAGCTCAGGACAAACTAACTTGCTCAGGGCTACATAGCTCATAGGTTCAGGAGGTGAGATTAAAAATCCTTTGATTTCAAAATGGCAGGCCTATTTCACCATATTTCCCGTCTTCCAAATGACATGAGTTTATTTCACTTAGGTTGCTCCACTAGCTATTCACGTATAAAGGTAAGTCAGTTAAAATGTAAAAAGACTTAAATTAATTTTCAGATTAAGTGTGAACTACCTCCTTATTTACAAATGAGGACGTAGACTACAAAATCATTCATAGGAGTATATAACAGAATAGCAGTCAATCAAAACGGAGGAGTCTCCTAGGTAGAGACCCCTGTACTCGGGACAAAAATTTAAATTCACTTTACAGCTGTCATTGTGTCTGCATTCTTTACAAATGCATATCTAATATTGAAAACCTCAAACTGCATTAAGGCAGGCTCCAAGAATATTAGCGTTCCTGATGAGGTGACTCACAATAGCAAATATAGGCACTTGGGTGTGTTGAATTCACACAGCAGGAGACAAACATGGACATGTTCTACAACTCCGTTTGCTTTCTGTGTGAATTCTGAAGCAAAAGGTCCTTCCAGAAAGATTCTTTATACACTCATCAGAGAAGACAAAACAAGCAAAATGGCTGGCAGACCCTCTCTAAAACCAGTAAAAAATAGTTTAAGCCTTTCAGTCCTTGTGTGCACAATTGTTACTATCACTATAACTAAGTTACATTTTTTTTTTTTCCTTTGGAAAGGTAAACTCAAGACTGAGATATTATGATTCCTCTGAATGTTAAGAAAATCACTACCATCTAGAATTTTCTTTTTCTATTAATATAAGAACAAACATTTTTGTGACAATGAAAATATGTTAAAAAAAGGGTAAAGATGGATTCAAATCACCTTTTTATTCAATATGTAAATTTCACTCCTATTAAAGCTTTAAAATAATAAGTGGGGCATGGTGGCAGATAGAAGGTCATTTGTTGAAATCTAAATATAATTTTTATTCACAAAGGACAATAAAAAGCAGTATATCCAGAATGTGGCCCAAGTGAGCAAATTTCTAATTTGCTCCACATATTCATTTTTCCTTTTCTCTGTTTCTTTAACCCAGCTTGGACCAAAATATACACGACTTGCATTTAAAAGTTTAATATATCATGGCTCATAAAATTGACAAGGAAAGACAGACCAAACAATATACCAACATGAAGTATTTTTTCCCATGCTTCGTAGGGGGAGTAACCAAACATAATACAAAAATACACACTATTTTTGTCTGATTGGATTGTGATTTTATAAAATGAGAGACGCTGCCCTTTGTTATTAATCTTATCTTGGTTAGTCCAGAAAACAATAAAGTTTGCAGACATTGTGTTTGTGTATTAAAAATTAATGGAGCTCCTGGAAGGACAGATCTGTCTTACATACACAATCAGCACATATGCAGTACAAATCACTGACTTGTGAAAGTATAACACCTAAGAATAAGTAGGTTTCACAAGGTTGAGTAAATCAGTATTTACCTTGCGTTTTCACTGGGTCTGATATCTGGCTCGGATCACTAATTCCATACGCATTTGCTGCCCTCACAAGGAAAAGGTAAATTGCATTAGGTTTGAGTCCTTTAATGGCAAATGTTTCTGTTTTCACGTTCTCGGCTACGGTCTGCCAACTGCTACCAGATGCATGGCTAAGGACAGATACACAAGTTAGAACATGTGTATGTAATGGCAAATCGAAACAACAAACCAACTAGGAAACATCAGCTTTACTCTACCTGAAGGCTTCTATAATATAAGATGTTGGAGTTGCACCCGAATTCAAATTTGGTTGCCATGACAATGTTACTGTGTTTCTGCTGACATCTGTAACTTCGGGTTTTGAGGGGGCACTAGGGATTAAATTTGGGTCAGTGGGTCTCGGAGGCTGAACTGGAACTCCAAATTCTAATAAAGGGGATAAAGAGGAAAGACGTTTACACATATACAGATAAGCACAGAAAGGTAGATTGCACCATTATATATCTACTCTGACATCAGGCCATCTACTTCATCCATTTACCAGCAAGTAAACTACCGCAAGTTAAGCTTTAAGTTAAAAATGCTAGCTAATTTACCTTGGACTTCAATGTAAGCACTCCATGTTGCTTCACCACTGGGGGTCGATGCAATGCAGGTGTACCGACCTGTGTCACCCAGCTGAGAAGATAGACGGAAAATAAATATTTGGAACAATCGAGAGCTTAACGGGCTGGAAAAGCAATTATAGTTTTGTATATGTCCCATGAATATGGATAACTGCATTAAAATTCAGTAACCAGAAACGTCCTCTTAATTGAATTTATTTTTATTGAATATGAAGGAAAATATTGCAGGAATACGGAAAAAATCTATATGGTTATCTTAATTGTATAATAAAATATAATATTTAATGCCTTACCATAGCATTATTTTTAGCATCAGGGACAATAAACAATGAGGTATTCAAATTCAAAGGGCTAATCTTTATTACTAACTTATATCTTCATATTTAATGTCACATAGTAAGGCTGATAAAATTTAGCCAATGACTATTCTTGCTATTTCCTATTTTATCAGAGTTACATGCATATGGATATCTGAGATAAACAGATATTACAGAAAAAAAGGATAAACACAAAAATGATTTCTTCTCAAAGTATTCACTCTTTTTTTCCCCATTTTATTATTTTTTTTTACCTGTTTAATAAGTCAAACCTCAGCTGGAATGAAGGTTCTCTCTCCCTTCTAAAGACCGAATGCCAGAAAACAAACAGGGGTCACATGTTCAGCTTTAAAATCATCATCAGCATAATGAACCCATACACCTCTGCCTAAGGTAACAACTCGATCTTCAAGTAATGTTTGATAAAGCAAGAATGTTGCCATCTCGCTCTGGCAACTGTAATAACAAAATTGCAATCATTGTCACAAAGAACTACAACATATTAACTTTCATGGCATGTACAATGAACTGTTATGCTGATCCAAAACTCCCAAGAAGCCACCCACAATAGGCAGTGAAGCGATTGAAATTTATGTTTATTGCTGTCAGAGCTATTCTTTCATATGCCTTGTGAGCCTGTCTGATCTTGACCTAAAAGAAAAGGAAAAATCAAAACAAAACAACACAGTACTGAAAGAACAGGTATAGGATGTGACGCCCTGGGAAGGTAAATCCCTAAATTGTTCTCACAAACTTATGGGCTTTTCATCATTTAACATTCTGATTTGCACTGTACACTCGGCATGTACATTGCTATCTGGTTTTTGCTTGCATGTACAGTATTCTGTATTTGCAATATGTTGAACCAAATATTCATCACAACAGAAGACCCATCCAAGGGCATTGTCGATAACATGGGACTGGAAAAATCTCTTTGAAAAATGCTTTTATGGAATGAGTGCATCATACCACTACCTGGAAGGTATTTTTTCTCCCACAAATCCCCACCTACTTTCCTCAACAGTTCTCAAAAAACTTTTTTTTCTCCTTCATCTAAAACCTTAAATTACTTGCTAGGAGCTAAGTTATGAGTCAAATCATCTTAAATATACACAGCGGAATGTCTGAAAGAATAAAGCCTCTGTTAAAAATATATCAATACCGTTAGCTAGCATTTCATTGGTTCTAAAATTTGAGATGTCAGCCCTGGTTGCTGGAGGCAAACACAAAATGGAGCAAAATGGGGAAGCCAGGGTGTCATTTCAAGTTACCTTAGCGTATCGGATCTGTAGCACTCCCGTCTCCAGCTGCTTGATTCGAGAATCTTGGGTTGACACAAGGACTCCATCCTTTCTCCACAGAATCGTGGGCACCGGACTGCCTGTGGCCACACAGCTGAGCACTACAGTACCATCCACTGCCACAGTCTGATTCCCAGGACCTTGCCGAATGATGGGGGGAGGCCGGTCTGCAATCACTACCAAAAGAAACAACAGGAAATAGATTTCTACAACTGGAAGCAATTTGCTAATCATCCAAGCAACAGCAGTTGCTCTAGGCTTTGAAACAAACTAATTAAACAAGTAATTGAAGTAGGAGACGTGCCTTATTCAGAATGCATTTATACGATGCCCTGATTCACGATGTTAAAATGAGATACCATGTGTTCCTTTCAAATGACCAAGCCCTGACTGAGCTTGCCTCTCCATCAAGGGACCTTTTTAACTTAAGAGGCCTAGGAGGAAACAAGAATTGTGGATGGTGGGGCACCTGGGTGGCTCAGTCGGTTAAGCATCTGCCTGCGGTTGGGGTCATGATCGAGCCCCACATCGGGCTCCCTGCTCGGTGGGCAGTCTGCTTCTCCCTCTCCCGCTCCCCCTGCTTGTGCTCTCTCTCTCTCTCGCTCTGTCAAATAAATAAATCTTAAAAAAAAAAATTGTGGATGGTGAAGTAGATGTCTAGTGGTGAGAAGTGGAACGTCTACTTTTTAAACTTTAAAATATGTAAAAATCAAACACAACGACAACCAAAAAACCACCTACCCCAAGGAAACTTATGAGACACATTTTCATAAATGAACGAAAGCCAACTTGATATCCGATAACTGTTTTGTATCCAGCAGAAAAAAATTATGGTATCGTACCAGCATGGCTGACAATTTTGGATTCAAAAAGGGGCTTTGGACTTTTAGAATTTACAATTCAATATGACTGAGCTCTTTCTGTCTTGGAATTCTATTAACAGAATTACGTGGGTAAAAATTTCCCAATCCCAGTGAATTCAGGAAAAACTAGAAAACTGTTCAAATACATTGTTGGGCTAATCCAAAAATATAACTCAAGTTCATGTCCTAACCTAGGAAAACACTTCTGTGCTGGAATTCCAGGGATCAGAAAACACTTTCACAAATTCTAGTACCTTAATAGTTTTAATGTACTATGGAAGGAAACAATGGAAGGCATTTTTATAATATATAAATTAAAATTGTTCTTATTATTATATGAAAAGCCTAAAACCTAAAAACTTTCAGACAAGAAAGCCATTATTTAGAGAAAAATCTAAAACACCTGGAGTGTAACTAGAACAACTTGCATTGGAGAGTTGTTCTCAGTTCTCAGCCCTGATAGATCAACTTCAGTGAAACTCCACAGATGCGATGCTTTTTTAAATGAGTAAAAATTAAAAATGAAGTTTAAGAATTTTTTCGTTATCAAGCTTTAAAATTCCCAATATTAGTTACAAATTTTTAAGTCACAAATATATAAAAGACAAGTTTAAGAAGTTGCCTGGTTAAAAGAAACTAGTTGCCAGAGTAAATTTTGGATGCAACAATTTGCAAAGCGAGATGTGTCATGTTCAAGGTTTTATGCTCCAAAGATTTTCACAAGCTGGAGTCACCCTTCAATTTGTTCCTCATTTACCATGCAATAATTATTAGTTTTGTGCATTCAACTTAAGCAAAAACAAGAAAGCAACAGAGTGAAATCAGCAACTGTATTTTCACTCCACCCTTCTGATTCTCTCCCATGCTTGATTACTGGTATGAAATTTGCAAATACCAGGGAGACATGTTAGAAGGCTGGAGTTTGTAACCTGGCAGGAATGTTTCAGATACTCCATGGATGACAAATATAAGTCAATGATTCCTTTGTTTAGAATTGTTTAATCTCTTCTATGTTTTCTGTTGAGATTGACTAAAATCAAATTAGACGCCCCCACCTGATAAGTGTGAAAAAAAGAAAGTGTTTTATTGCTTTGGGGTTTTAGAAGATTCTACCTGCGTTCCCTTGATCATAAGAATGAATGAATATTTATTTCTAGACATTAATTAAATTAGTAACAGTGTTTCTTTATAAAGGATATAATTAAATCCAGTAACAGAATGGCTTACATTTGGTAGTCTTGTTACATTTAGAAACAATCCAGTATCTGGGGTTTTATTCAGTTTTCTGATCTTTACAATGCTTTGATGTTTGCATCATATTTAGCATCATTCACACCTCCCCACCCTATCCCAACCCAGTTTAATCATGCTGTTCCACTGTCATTTATTTCTTCCTGGTTTACACTGGGTAGTTCACAAAAATAAGGCAAGAGAAGAGGAGTAGGGTTGATTATCATCTTCATCTGTCCTTTGTCTTTGGGCTGCTTCCTTAAATTCTCTAAGCCTCAGTTTTGTTTTTGTTTTTGTTTTTTATCTGTAATAGGAAGATAATAATGTTTAGCCAGCTCAAGGGATTGCTATGAAGATTTAAATGCAATAATAGATATGAAGGTGCTTTGCTAATTGCAAAAAGCTAGACATGTGTATGAATTGTAATATTGCCGCTTACCCTTTTCTGTAAAAACTGATAGGTAAACCACAGCTGAAGGAGTTCATTAAAGCAATTTCATGTTTTTAGGTAGAAAAAAATGAAACATTTTGTTGTTATCACAGGGTAGAATAAAATACTGATAAAATATTTACATTTTCACAAACTAAAGAGTGTAGTACATTTCTGAGTCAAGCCTAAATTTAGGATTTATGAGAAGAACCTCAAATTTAGGGTCTAAAATTTTACTGGTATCATTAGAATGTATTATCATTATTAGAATGAATTTTAGCAAAGTGAGTAAGTGCATCTTGGAGAAAGATGTGCCCCTAAAATGAAAACGTTCTATAACTGTGATATCCAACACAGAAGCCAGTGCCTTCCAGTGGATACTGAGCATCTGAATCTGGCTAGTGTGATTGAGGAACAGGATGTATAATTTTAATAAACTTTAAGTAATTGAAATTCTAATTTAAATAATCTCACGTGGCAGCTGGCCACCATCCTGGACAGTACAAACTTTTGTTGTAAATCTCAGTTCTGCTGCTTATGATCTGCATGCTTTGGGCATACTTTTTCACCAATCTCTGCCTCCATTTCCTTATCTGTAAAACGAGATGTTGTGGAATTTAAAATTGTTGATATGTGAACAGTTCTTAGCATTAGTGCCTGACCCAAAGGAAACACTGAGTAACTGTAACCTAGTATTAACGGGTATCAGTATAGTGGTGTTAGCTGTGTTAGTGATGCTGGTGTAGACAGTGCCTCAGGTGGTGTAACCCATTACATCAGAGTTTAGGGAAGTTTCCTATCTTTTCCTCACATTCATGAAATATATAAAGATCCTAAAAAAAAATGAGAGCATATCATCAAAAGTCATATTTTGTTACCTCAAAAGCGATAATCACGAAGACTATGTTAATATATATAAATACATTCATAATATAATTTTAAGTGAAAAAAAAACAAAATAACATATACACATTGACCGGTTTAAGGATGAAAAGTTCATATTTATAGACAAACAGATATCAGAATTACGTATCACAATTGCTATCAGTTCTCAAACGTATTTTACAAACTTATGAGTTAGTTAGGGAAGTACAAGTCACGTGTCCAAATCGACTAGTTGGTAATTGTCAGGTCTCTCTTTTCTGAATAAAAGTTAACACTCATTTCATTGTATGTCAATAACTTTTGAAAGATGAATGCAAGTGATTTTAAATTTTATACAGTATTAGGCAATCATTAACTAATTTTCTTACGTTCTAGGAATAAAGAAAAGAAACATTTTCAATTAAATAGGTGTTATGAATTTCTATGTTCCTGGGTCAAATGCTATTCGGGGTAGGCCACAGCTACAAAACACAACATTTCAAAGACAGCTGCTACTCCACCATATCCCGTGCCTTGTGTTTTATTCTGTCTTTGTCTTTGTTCTGTTTGCAAACAATAAAGCAAGGTCAAGAAGCTAAAGTCAAATAGCATCCAGAAAGTATTCTGACTGCAAGCTATCCTCTTGACTTGACTTGATAATGTGCAAAAGCTGAGGGTGCTAGCACTCACAGTAATACTAGTTTACCTGTGAAGAATGAGTACATGCTTGTTGTGTGTACACATCAATGTTGTGTGTACAATGTTGTGTGTACACATCAGAGTTGTGTGTACAATATCAATGAATTCCAAAAGAAAGAAAACAAAACTAAAAATACAGTACCACCACAGCAAACACAAAACCATCTCAGATCTCCCCAGAGACTGTAAAATGAATTAGGACATTTAAATGTTAGGTGTTTGGTTTTGTGTTAGTTTAGCAAAAATTGCTATCTTTGATCTATGCTCACAAATATAGCGATTTATGACAATGCAGTATCAGATGGTATGTATGAAGCTTGGTTTTCAATTATTAATTAGAATAATAAGAAATACTTGAAAATATTTTACCATAGTTTTCTTTGGCCATTTTTCATGTACACCTGTATACACAAGTTGCTGTATATATAAAGTTGTCTTGTAAAGTTGCAATTATAAATTGTTGTGAAATTCTGTGTTCCACTTTTATATATTGATTATACTGATCATTATCAAATTCATTACATGGTCTTCACAGCCATCATTTAATAGCTTTAATATATGTAAGAAATTGTAAAAACATTTTAGGTCATTCTCACTAATTGGAGCCAGTAATATATAATATGTATTATAGACAGAGGTAAGAGTTGGGGCTTTTGAATGAGACAGTCATAATTTTGAATTCTGACTTAACTGTTAGCTGTTTATTCCATCCACGTTTCATCCATTCATTCAAAAATTATCTATTGAGTATGTCCCATGTGTCAGACTTTGGTAGTCTGATACTGAGTATGTGTTTATTGGACAGACGTGGGCCCTGCAATCATGGAACTTAATGTCCAATGAAGAATACAAGAAAATAAATAGAGAACACAGAAAAGTATAGGATGTGATCTTTCTATAGATGGCAGGGTGGAGAATGCTCATATTTGAGAAGGGAGGGAATGCTTCTTAAAGTAAGTGAAATTTCATGTCAGTAGAAACAGCATGCGCAGAAGTCTTCAGATAAAAGAAGAGCATAGCAAACACAATAAAATGAGGGCATGTAAGCAAATATAGTATTCAGAGCTGAGCCTGCAGCAGTCATATCATAAATTGTAAAACATATTGAGAAATATAAACTTTATCCTGAGAGCACTAAGAAACAAAATAATCAGATTCATGTATTAAAAATTTCCTCCAGAATTTTTTTTTTAATTTCAAAATTCTGTCTTTAAAATCTTTGCTAACATTACACTTACTTTTCCCCTGAGGTTAGGATCAAAACAAATATTTCCACTATAACCAATTCTAATCGTTAGAGATCACAGCGCAGGACAAGTAAGAGAAATAAAAAGTATAAATATTGGAAAGAAGAAGTAAACCTGGTTTTTATTTGGAATTGACACATTTTCTTCCTAAAAATTTCAAAGTAATATACCTAAAAACTCTTATATATGAGTGCATTTAGCAAGTTGCTGGATACAGGGTTAATATACAAAGAATCAATTGTACATCTGGCCTCAAACAATACAATAATGAGATATATATGTATATATTATATGCAGTCACATCAAAAATCATAAAATATCATAGGTATAAGTCTTTCAAAATATATGGAAGATATCTACCCTAAGAACTACAAAACATTGTTGAGAAAATTAAAGATCTATATAAATTGAGAGATATATATGGAATATATACCATTTCCCTAAATTGGAAGACTAAGATTGTTAAGATGTTAATTCTTCCTAAACTTCTCAATAATTTAAGTGAAATCAAAATTAAAACCTCAGATTTTTTGTTGTTGTTTAGGGTTGTGTGTGTGTGTATGTGTGTGCGTGCGTAAACTGACAAGTTTATTTTAAAATTTATAAGAAAATGCAGGGGACCTCTAATAGCCAACTCAAAACAAGAAAAAGTTGGAGACTTACATTACCTGTTTATAAGACTTACTATAAAGCTACAATAATTAAGATCATACATACTGGCATGAATACATAAATGGAATATGATAGAGAGAATAGAAGCAAACTCACACATTTATGTTTATCTGAATTATGATTAAGATGCCACTGTAATTCAGTGAGGAAAATACTGTCTTTTCCATAAATGATTTTGAAACCATTAGTATCCACAAAGAGGGGATTTGATTCTTGTTTTATACCATACACAAAAATAATTTAAAATGGATTAAAAACTTATATCTTAGAAGTATAGACAATGAAACTTCTAAAAAAAGACATAGGAGAACATCTACATGGACTTAGGTGGGACAGAAAATTAAAAGCATCAACTACAAAAGAAAAATAATACATTGGTCCTAATCAAAACTAGTGATTTAAGCCTTAAAATCATTATTAGGAGAATGACTGAAACTAAATATTTATAATACATATCTGACAAAAACTTGTATCTGGAATATATGAGAAAATGAAAAAGAAATGGGTACATTCATCTGCCAAAAGGCAAACCAAGATAACTGAGCGCAGGGATATTTACTTTGTTCATAAAAGCCCTCAACTGAAAGCAATCCATCAGTAGAAGAGTATATAAATAAATTATAAGCTATTTATACAATAGAATACTATACAGCAACAAAGAGAATAAATATTATATGTATATATTTATTTTAGGTATATATGTATATACAGATATGTACATATATATTTTTATATATTTATATGTATACATTTTTTTCTTTCCTTCTCAAATTATTACTACTCTCCATCTCATGGTTTGAAGATTCTTTCCATCACTGTGTCTTCATAATGTATTTGGCATTAATTGATCAGGCTCAAGGGCGTTGATAAACAGGACAAAATCACATTATTAATGGAAAACTTGTTCATTATAATGAGTTGTGAGTAGGACTTATCAGCAATTCATTTTATCTCCTTAATTTGGTGAAAAAAAAAGGATTTTTTTTACACCAGGATTTTAAAATAACTTTATTTTCTAAAACATGGTAACATTCCCATGTACAGCTATTCAGTGTAAACTTCTTGTTTAATTGCTGTGCTTTTACGGATCTGACTCGATGCTAGAAATTTATAGTACAGCCAAGTTAAAATAAGAATAATTTTAGACTTAGTCATTGTATCGACATCCTTTTTATCTTTACACCAAAACTGCTGTCAGAAAGATACACAGTAGAAAATAAACACATTTACTGACACTCTCTTTAGATCATAAGCCAAACTTGAACATTTTCAGATAAAATGCTCTACTTTACCATCAGTAACTTCCAAATATGCTTTTGTGATGATACTTCCGGCAACATTTAAAGTCTGGCAGATATAATAACCGACATCAGATCGTTGGACGTTAGTGATAGTGAGATCACCAGTCTGGGAGACCGAAAAGCGGCTGGTTGACTGAGGTGGCTGATATGAGAAAAGCAGATTCTAGAACCCAGTATTTGGGAGGAAAGAATAACAATAGGTTAATTACTAGGTTCTAATATTTTGGCACGTATACATATATATTTATAAATAGGTATATAAATGTATACACACACATATACGTACACACCACACATGCATATATAAACAAATAAGCTAAATATTCTTTCATCACATACCCACATATATAGATACATACATACACATAAAAGACAAAGTTTAATGACCTACCCTTACATAGGATCATTTTAAAATTTAAATAAATTCTAAATATTGATATGTACTTTTATAATTATCAGTTTCAAACAATACTAGATATAGAAACATATTTGGTATCAACAGAGTTAAAAGTTTTACATATTAATCAACACAAAGGCAAAAGCTTTGCTTTACATATGTATGACTGTTAGGATTATAAACACTAAATCTTTTAATATATAAACAAAATTAAAATGTACACACATTCTGACAAATTAAGTTCAAAGATAGCATTTTGGCACAATAACAAGTGTCTGTTATCTGTCTGTTATAAAATTCAGTAACTTCTATCAAACTGTAAATAGTTTCTTATTTCTCCTCTAGATGGTGAGCATATCCGTCATGGATTATTTTGAAAATCAAATATTAAATTTAAGAATTCAGAATGGAGTTTTATTTGTCTTTCTATATAAGTTAGCTTATATACAAAGTCAACACAAGATTTGATGTTGTTTTGTGGTACAAATTTCTCACTATGAATCGAAATTTGCTCCCTTGTTAGAGAGAGTGTATACGTCATGGGAAATAACACTTGATGTCATTGTTTTTCATGAAATAAAGTCAAGATTTCTTCTAACCAAATAAAGTTGTTCCTTTTTAAAAGTTTAATTGCTTTTTAACATATATAATTTTATAAAGGCTTATCTACTATTCCATGAATACATGACATGTCCAATGACAAAATTGGAGGAAAAAGTAAGTTGTATCATTAAACCAAGCCAAACAAAGTCAAAATTATTTCAAAATTGGACACAGTTTAAATGACTTAATGAATAATTTATTTAATAACTAAATGAATCATTTAAATATTATTCTCCTGAGAACTTCTAGTGGATTTACTATTACTACTATGTAGATTTTCTTATATAATACACTCCCAATTCTTTCTGCTGTACTAAATATTTCAATTTTTCTTGTCTATAATTTACTATCAGCAAATTTAGTCTTTGAGGCCAAATGGAATGTGTTAGAACCAACGAAGGTACTATAACTCAAACGAGGGTCTACATACCATAATCAAGTTAATATTTGCCTACCAAAGTGAAAACAAAGGTGAACTTGATCCATTGCCCACAAAAGAGGAGTGAGTGCAGTCAGTAAACTACTTATATATAGTTTAGGAGCACAGTAAGAGCAAGACCATGAGACAACTTGCCCAAGATTGATTTAAGCAAAAAACAAAAAGAGTTAAGGAATAACTGTATTAAAAATGAATGAGAATCTTTTTTACAGGTATCAAAACAAGTAAAGGGAACTGCTTCTTTTGTTGAAGAAAGCAAGCCAATAAGAGATGAGAAAAAAGACATATATAAAAACTATTTTAAAGTTTCCTATTATCTTTAAAGTGAAATTATTTCAAAATTTCCTTTTTATTAAGCTGAAACCTAATAGTGAACTTAGAGTTTGTAAGAGCATAGAGCTTTATATTGTAGTTCAATGTATACGGAAAAATCTGGTTTATAAAATGTTTGGAGTTATTTGATGGCAAATGGCAATCACATATGATAGTTCAAAGAATTAGAATATACTGAACTATATTTACCATGACATCTATATTAAATAGAATACCACATAGTTTGATGAATCTTTAATTGACATATATAAATTGATATATATAATTGATATCTATTTATCTATACACACACAGACATATACAGACATCCATACATAAAGAAGTGAAGAAGACACTTGAGATTCCTGGTGTTTTTAGAGAAATTGCACTGAATAATTAATCATCTCTGTTTTAAATGTGTGTAAATTTCTTTTAACATATAATTTCAGGGGCGCCTGGGTGGCACAGTTAAGCATGGACTCTTGCTTTCAGTTCAGGTCATGATCTCAGGGTCCTGAGATCGAGCCCCAAATCAGCTCTGTGCTCAGCACGAGGTCTGCTTAAGATCCTCTCCTCCTCTACCTCTGCCCCTCCACCCCGCGTGTGTGCAAGCAAATACATCTTTAAAAAAAAAAAATTACAGATATCTGAATAATCGAAATAATAATTAAATTATGTTGAGAAAAAGTGTAGTTTTTTTTTAACGTGGCTGAATTGGAAATAAAGGTAAATTTAATATGATAATTACTATGCAATATACCACCCTATGTACCAAAACTAGGAAGGGGAAATTGCTTTTAGATTTATAACAATGAAGGAAATTTTGTCTTCTTTCATAGTTGAAATTTTCTAGGGCATTCAGAGATTTTTCAGTTTTCTTAAAGTAACAGCTATATGACTAACATTTTGGGCTTTCTTATATACCTGGCACCCACCTTTGCTGACTGAAATATTAGAATAAGGTCTTACCTGACTCCCCTCTCTTCTCCAAAAAATAGCTGGTTGAGGATTTCCGGTTGCTTCACACTGGAACGTTACAGTTCGTCCCAAGGCAACAACCTGGTCACGGGGTTTCACAACAAAGTGTGGAGGTTCTAAAGGATATGAAACAAATGATCAGAATCAAAACCATGTAGTTATTAACCTAACTGAGACAATTTGCTGATATCCCAAGTGCTGCCGTTATTTTATGTAACTCATTATGCACTATAAGATGTAATGTACCCATTCTCATCCTTAATTTAATTGAAGCTAAATTGTTAAGTGCTTATTTATAGAAAGGAATAGAATTTTTTTGTGCAGAGGTCTTTTTTTTAATCAGCTGACCTTTTAAGATTAACCTCCACATTAAAAAGAATTCTTGAGCTGCAATTTGACCCATTACTTTCAAAGTCCACCTGAAATTTGTATGAATAAATATCTTTTCTCATTTAGAGCTGCTTAAAGGTGAATGGACTTTAATCATACACCCAAGGGTCTCCTGATGTAAGCAGGCCCTAAAATTACTTTAATTTAACTCAAAAGCTTCTGAAATGCTACCATGAAAATTATAACCATTTAGAATCTTCAGTCCAATTACTTGAATAGAAATGAATTTAAAGCAATAGTAGAGTCAAATGCCTCCTTCATTTACATAGGCAAGGGCATGTTCCAACAGAATACATATGGAAATGAGGGCAAATTCGAAACATCTGCTCATCCTGACATTATAAATACTGCCAGCTTTGTCCAAACTGTTTGATTTATACAGACTTAAATGGCCACTTCATCCAGCAGTAAATAGAGTGTCAGAAAATTGTGTCAGTTACATTGAGCGCAATGGCAGGTGAAAACATTAGGTGTGCTGATGGAGTCACTTTGGGGGGGGGAAGCTTGTTTGGGGGCCATGCTTTATGCTTAGAAAAATGTGCACTGAATGTAAGTCTTTTTACCTACTGTTTACACTTTTCAAATGCATTTCTTATCAGCTGTCTGAAACACCTAATTATTCTCTCTTGTCTCAGTTCAAATGGAAGTGAACATTTCAAGCCAGATATTTAACAGTTTATACAGGAGAGGGTTTTTCCAATCCACTTTTTAAGACTGTTCTGTTATTTTAAACCTTTTCTTTAAAATTACTTTTAGTTACTTATAGGAATCACTTGGGATAACGCCTTCAAGGGAATAAAAACCAAAAATTATATTCAGATTATATCCACAAATGCTACCACTGATTTCTTTGTTAATGAAGCGGAGGGTTTGAAAAGGTACTTTTCTCTTGATCAGTACTGTCTAGGCAATTGCATCTAAGACATATATACAAATATTTATAATATATATTATATATAAATTTTGTAAATCTCTCATTTGAAATATAAACCTCTTAAAAAAAAAGAGAGAGATGTAACAGAACTCGCTGCAGATTGCATAGTGGCAAAACTGAAGAAAGCAATTAGATCTCCTAACTTCTAGATTAGTGTGATTTCTTCCATACTCGTTTTTTATTTTTAATTGAGGTTTGGTAGAAATTATACCATTTGACTAGAAAATTATAGGAGACCTGAAAAATTAGGTCAAATGCCTTCAAATGTCCTGTAACTTATAGGGAAGAAAATATGAAGTCAGGGGATACAGTTTAGGTTCAATTTGGTGACGCTGAAGTTCTAGCTTATAATTTTTTTAAACTCTGATTGTAATTGAGTGGTTTACTCATGAATTTAGCCAACACTATCATTATCCAGGTATAATAACAGACATGTGTATCATTGCCTGGGGATTTTCCTCCATATACATCCATACGGGAGCATTTGATTCCTTGGTTAGGGGCTGGAATAGTTGAGGTAGAAATCAGATCAAGAAATTGAAAGGATTGACTGGATAATGAACTACATCCAGAAGAGAGTTTGGTTTGTTTCAATAAAAGGAAAACAAATGATTAATTAAATGACTGGGAGAATATGACTTTTCCAATATTCAGGGAATTTGAGTAGGAAAATATAAATGTTCAAACCACTCAGAGAAGTATAAACTTTGGGTGGTCTCTTTCCTAAATCTCAGAAGCATGTCTAATAGCATGTGCCAGAACCCATGTTTCTTTTATAAAATGCCAGTTCTCCTCCAACCTCCAAGACTTACTTGGGAACAAGGGATACAAACCCTTATGCTAACTACATTTATCCTGCAGCAATCCTTGACACAGGATATCTGCCTGGAAATGAATTTACTATATTTTGCAGGCATATTCTCGAGCCAACATCAACAGTGACATCAGCCACAAGGTATGTCTTAGAAATATAACTTTAAAAAATCCTTTTCTACATGTATGTTATTCTATATAAATATATCTCTATGAAAATGTAAATGGATTAAATGGGCCTCTATCTATCAATCTAGCTATCACCATCATCCACCTTTTTAGATTGCGAAGGCCATTCATCACATCTATCTACTTGATATTCATGATATAATGTTGGAACATTTTTCAAAGGTGACATTTAAACTTGCTATAATTAAAAATACATAACCATGTTACTAATGTCATATATGGTCAGTGTTGAAAATTTAGAAAATTAGACAGCAAAGAAAATAAGAAGACCTACCCGTAATTCAACCATGCAAATTGGACCACAGTGTTTTAAAATGTTCTCTTACAATATCATTTCAATAACTGTTTAATAAACCATATACAAATTACTTAAATTACTTAACCAAGCTATTGTTTTTAAATTTGGATTTGTTTCCAATTTTCACTATTAAAAACAGTAGTGACATTAACATCCTTCCCAATTATATTCAAGATAATTTTAACTGATGCCTCCCCTTCACATTACCTTATCACTGATACCCTATTTGTTGTGACTATTGCATTCCTATGCTTATCTTTTTTATTTCTAAGAACTATTGATAGGCAAAATTTTATCCATTTCTCATATATATTGTAGATATATTTTTTCATTTTGTTGACAGTCTTTCTAATCTGGTTAAGCATTTTTGGTATTCATTCTATCAATAAGATATATATTATATAATATGTAATAAATTATGTAAACATTCACCTCCATTTTCATCCTATACTTTTGTCTTTACTTTTTTATGTTTAAATATTAATCCATATATATTTTTACATATATGGTAGCACCTAGAAAGCTATTTTTTTCAAATAGTACCTTGTTGCATCACCATTATTGAACAATCCATCCTATCTGTATTAGTCTGAACACCTTTAGAATAGTTTTGTAGCTCTTTAACTTAAAAAAATATGGAGCTTTTCCTAGGGTCAAATATTTCCTGGCATACCACTTAGCATCCTCATGCGAAATTCTCCAAAAATGGTGTTCCAGCATTTTTAAAGGGTGAATGTATCTTCCCCAATGTACTGATCATGAAAGTACTTAGAAACCTAATGACTATTTATGTGAGGACAAATGTTTATCAGAGCAAACTTTGATAAATTTTGGAAACATCATGCAATTATTTCTTACATAAAATGAAATGAACCTGACACATAGAAATGAAAAAGAATGCATACAGCCCTAAGTGCAAGGTTATTCATCAATAGGACTTTGAATGACCATTACTGAAGAATAGTTACAAAAGTTCAGGTTGACAGACATGAATTCATAAACATATTTTGGATTAAAAAGAAAACCAAATCATTCTGTGCGCGCCTATTTTTGTTTGTTTATCTTGTGAAATATAAATTGAAAAAGTACTTAACCACAATATAGTCCTATCCCTTATTTTATCACTCAATTAGGGAGAGAAAAGAAAATAAAAGGATGCAGATCACACATCATTTAATAAGACATAAAGTTAGCAACCCCATTACCTTTACTCTTTGTCACAGTTACCCATACTTCCTGCAGACTTTATTCTGTGCAGTCTGTCTTTGTGGCCAATGACAAGTGAAACATGGAGGCTGATTGGTTGAAGGACATGGAAGGGTATGGATGGAAAGGGGAAGAGAAGTTCCAGTCACAGGGACACGGTGATTAGAAGATGGCCAATAAAATGTCAACTTACCAGACCCAACTAAAACAAAAAAAAAAAAGAAAACATGAAATAAATAAAAAATAAAGAAACAGAAACGAAACAGAAAAAGTAATAAGATTTGACTTAACAATGATATTTCTTTTAAAGTAAAATAAAGAACACGTTAATATTTGGCTCATACGGTCCATGAATGAACATTCGTTAGCATTTTAAGTATAATCATGAGTAACTGAAGAAAAATAGAAATGAGTCTTAAAATCTCTACTATGATTAAATGACAGAACTACAATGGATGATAGCCGTACAATTATAAAACACGTTTCAATGACTACATTTGACAGGGTTAGATAACTACATATGTAATGGGTTTAAAAACACTATAAATCTTAACTGCTAATGCTACTTAGAAGAGAAATCAAGCATCTTAATAAAAGATAAAGCAGCGTTAAATCATACAACTCCACCATCAGATTTTTTTTTTCATCAGATTAATTTTTAAAAGGTTCGTGCTACCAATGATATTCTATCAAATCCATGTTTCTCACACTTGAATAAGCACACAAATCAACCTAAGACCTGTAATTTAAAATACAATTATAGGGGCGCCTGGGTGGCTCAGTCGTTACGCGTCTGCCTTCGGCTCAGGTCATGGTCCCAGGGTCCTGGGATCGAGCCCCACATCGGGCTCCCTGCTCCGCAGGAAGCCTGCTTCTCCCTCTCCCGCTCCCCCTGCTTGTGTTCCCTCTCTCGCTGTGTCTCTCTGTCATATAAATAAATAAAATCTTTAAAAAAAAATACAAATTATAATTCCATAGGCCAGGAGTGTGGCCTGAGATTTTGCATTTCTAACAAGCACTCAGGTGCTGCTGGTCCACCACTGTAGGCTGAGGAGCGAGGTTATTAAAAGGTGTTACACCTAAATCCTTGCAGAATTTTAATTAAGAAGACACATAGAAAAAATGTGAACACATGAAAACAGATAAAACTTTATAAACCTATCTAATGACGTCATAATCACATCTGCTTTCAAGGCTGAAACACTGGGCATTTTAATATAATTTTCAAGTGATACACACTTTATTTTTTTTAAAGATTTTATTTATTAATTGAGAGAGAGGATGAGAGCGAGAGAGAGCATGAGAGGGGGGAGGGTCAGAGGGAGAAGCAGACTCCCCTGCAGAGCAGGGAGCCCGATGTGGAACTCGATCCCGGAACTCTAGGATCATGATCTGAGCCAAAGGCAGTTGCTCAACCAACTGAGCCACCCAGGAGCCCCGATACATACTTTAAATACTGGAAAATGACTGGTTTTGCTCTTTTATTTTTTTTTATTCCCCCCCCCCGATTTTGCTCTTTTAGAAACAAAGGTAATAATTGCCAAATGCAGAACCTTTTCATAACAGCCCCACACACAGCCACAATACATTTGACTCAATATATAACTCCCACGTCTTTAAGCAAATCAAAATTAATTTAACCTGACATACATTCCTGTAGTTTAAATAAACTATGCCGAGCACATCTGCTGTTGTGAAATGGTACAATTTTAAAATAGTGACAACACAACAACAAAACAGAACACAATAAAAAATTCCCATCAGACTATAAACAGCCTTCTCAAGTTATTTCCCGAGCTGAATCAGAAATTACATTTCCTTAACGCCTGCCACCAGGGAAAAATAAAACACAAGGGAGTGGGGAAAGCTCAGGTGTCTGATGGGATCACAGGACATTTTGGTACAATGTATGGTATGAAGTAATATATTCAAGCTCAATTTATGTTGCTTTGCTTTTGTTTTATGGGCATGCTCCGTAGTCCACGTAGAAGGATAAAGATGTATGCTTTTATTTTTTTTAAAGATTTTATTTATTTATTTGACAGAGAGAGACAGCGAGAGAGAGAAAACAAACAGGGGGAGTGGGAGAGGGAGAAGCAGGCTTCCGCAGAGCAGGGAGCCCGATGCGGGGCTCGATCCCAGGACCCTGGGATCATGACCTGAGGCGAAGGCAGACGCTTAACGACTGAGCCACCCAGGCGCCCCCTTTTAATTTTTTAAATTTTATTTATTTATTTGACAGACACAGCGAGAGAGGGAACACCAGCAGGGGGAGCTGGAGAGGGAGAAGCAGGCTTCCTGCCGAGCAGGGAGCCCGATGCGGGGCTCGATCCCACAACCCTGGGATCATGACCTGAGCCGAAGACAGATGCTTAACAGCTGAGCCACCCAGGCACCCCAAGATGTATGCTTTAAATAAAATACAGAATAATAAAAAAAAAGTGAAATAAGAGACAAACGTTCTCTTGCCTATTGTTACCACGTAAGCAAAATTTAAAGGTAACTCAGAAACACATTTCAACTCATATGTTCCCTTCATGAGCGAAATAATTTGTCTTTCTTTTTCACTCTAAAGAAAAAAATTTTAAGTATAATATTTCGTGTGCTCAGGCAAGGAAAGTTAAAAAAACAAAACAAAACAAACAAACAAAAACCCTTTTCTCAACTTACTTAGGCATGATCAACAGCTATGCTACCTAGACTTGAAAACAGGGTTTTCGAACCCTTCAAGATACTGTCTTTTTTTTTTTTTGAAATTTCTTAAATGATTCTTTTAATAGATTTCATGACTGGTGTCAATTCATGCTAATTGGTAAATAATATAATAGAGTCAAATAATGTATTATCAGAAGAAAGAGAAATAAACATTCTATGAATTTATTCTTCAAGAGTTCTAACCAAACGATTATTTTAAAAGAATTCTCCCCTCCTGAACAGTGCTTAGTATGTTCCTTGTGAGCAGAGAGAAGGTCTGAGAATTAGGTCTGTCTTTTAAAGGACAGGAAGAAATATTTAGAAACTACAAAAAAGAGAACCTGACAAACTGCAGCAATAGAATTTTGCTTTGAAAAAGCAAAAGGTTATAGAATTATCTTTTGGGATAACCTGTGAAAATAAATTTGGTATTAGATAGATACAGTTAAGAAAGAGTATGCCTTATTTATGTTTTTTGTTGTTGTTGTTTTAAGAGTAAGCCTTATCTAAAGTCAAGAGACTACAGGAATGATTCCTCAAGATTTTCGAGTCATATATTTTCAGTAATTTAAAATTCCTGAAACATCTCAAAAATATCCAACATGTTAGAAACAAGAAAATTACTAGGAAGCAGATCATTTAAAGTTTTAAAAGTGCTTTTCCCTGCTTAGAGGTTTTACCAGGGATCAAGCCAGAGGAGTTGAATCTTTCATTAATTAAAATCCAGTGTATTCAAGAACTTCTGGCTGATGTATTTGCATATCACATCAATGACAAATGACAAGTGGAAAATATTTCATAAAGTTATCTAAGAACAACATCTAACACAGAAGCTTCCAAAGCATCAGAGGTTTTTAGAGTACCCTATCTTGCATGATCATTTAAGCTTTTAACAACCATGATTATCAGGAAATGATGTCTCTTATCTAAATGAAAACCTGTCTGTCACAATTTAACCCCCCTTTTTATTTATTCTAGTTTCAGGAAACAAATACATGCCATTAATATCCTCCATATAAAATCCTTTTACTCACTTGAAGGAATGAACATTCTAAACTTTCTCTTCTCAAGAATAAATGATAGAAATTTCTTTAAGTTTTTCTCAGATTTCCTCTTTTACCATACTTCCTCTCAGGGTCAGGTCAAAGAATTTTCTTTCCATACAGACAGCAGGGACCTTCTATACAACAATCAGGGCCCATTATTGTCCAGTTAGGTATGTCCAGAAAGAAGCCGAGAAAAGCAGAGTAATTTGGGTCATGTTCATTCATTATCCTCTGAAGACTTGTGGTTTATGGGCGGCCTCACTCCTACACTCCCCTAACGCTTGTCCATTTCTTTTTTTTCTACTTTAAAGGCTAGAAGCACCTCTACCCCAACTCCCTTTTCTCGTTAAGAAAGAGGAAAAGCCTGTCTGTCTCTATCACTAATAAAACAATAAAACTATAAAATGTTAGCGCTGGAAGTGACCTTAGAACTTATCAGTCTAACCCTATCCTTTTTGCATGAGAAAATGGGAACCTAAATTGTTCAGTAACTTTCTCAAGGTCACAGATGACTAACCAAAGACTGCCTTTTCAACTAAATTCAAGGCTTTTTGACTAAATTCAAGTCTCTGTATACATTTTCCTTCTGGTTAACCAGTTTGGGGAGAACTATATGCAACAGGACATAAAAGGTATTTGGTTTTAAATTTAAACTGTCATAAAATTTTTACCCGAAAACCATTACCATTAAAATAATTACTACCTACTTATTAAAACTTACTAAAATAATTGCTTAGGATATTAAAACAATCTTTAAAAATAATTAGCTATAGTTTTAAAAAGACATGGAAAATTAACAGATAAGAAGACAATAGGCTTAAAACCTCTTGAAAAGTTCACCTTTTTGGAAAAAAAAAAGTAATGTGATCATTTTTTAAGGGTGAGCCAATTGTCATCACTTCATACTTGAAATCATTATAAACTGAGTAATACTCTTTTTAAAAAAAAATATTTTATTTATTTGACAGAGAGAGAGAGAGAGCAAGAGCAGGAACACAAGCAGGCGGAGTGAGAGAGGGAGAAGCAGGCTTCCTGCCAAGCAGGGAACCTGATGCGGGGCTCGATCCCAGGACCCTGGGATCATGACCTGAGCCGACGGCAGACGTTTAACGACTAAGCCACCCAGGTGCCCCCTGAATAATACTCTTTTGAAAGGCAAGAACAAATTATATTTCCACACAATTACTGTTATGGTAAATATGTTAAGTAGGAAGTAAAATAAACTCAATAAGTAAATATGTATTTTTAAGAGGTTAAAACTTGCTATTTTTTTAACATGGCAACATTATGCAGATTATAATCCATCCTCGGTAACATCTCTAAATTTTTTATATTTGAGGGAGTTTGGAAAGGGTGAGGGATTAGAGAATTTGGCACAAGGCTGCATAAAAAACACACTGCTTTCACCTAGATTATGTTATCTTGGTGGTGTTTATATAATTATAAAACTCTGGTTCCTGAT